ACTCTTGAGAAAATATACAAACACTGCGCCTGAATAGTCATCAGTAAATATTTGTAACCATCTATCGACTCTGTAGCTACAGGACCTGCAAGATCTGTGTGTACCATATATAAAGGAGCCTTTGCTTTGGTATCAGGGTCCCTAATTCTGGTTTGGGTGAACTTTCCCTGAATACACACTTCACACTCTTGTTCGGGTCTGACCATTTTGCCCTTAATTTGCATACCCTCAACAACATTCTGCAACTTAATAACATCGTCGTAGTTACAGTGGCCTAGTATCTCATGCCATGTCTGTATGTCGTGACATGTGTTGTAGTGGCCGCTTTCACTGAGAAGATGCTCTGGGGGTACGACGGTACGAATAAAGCGTCTCTCAGCATCGCCTTGCGTCGCTGTCCTCTGTCGTCGATGAGAGAAACCTCGGCATTTCCCCTCCGCTGAGCGACCCCGCTGCACCGGGTGCCGTCTGCCAGCTCAACACTGTGCAATTCTGGCTTGAACTTGCTGTCAAAATGTTTGAACATAGTTATGTTATTTATGACGTGAGAGGTAGCCCCCGTGTCCACCATCAGACCTCTCTCCTGTATGCTGCATGCTGGCTGAAGTTGGTAACGGGTCTCTCCGTCTCTTACCTTGAACACGTAGTCCTCATCGTCTTTATCGGAGACTTTACTCACGCCATCTTGTTTTTCCTTACTGTCTTTATTCTTTTGTCTGCACGTGGCGTTTTTGTGTGAGTCACTTTTGCAAAAACTACACCATGTCTTCTGTCGACATGCTTTTGCTCTGTGGCCTTTGATTCCACATTTAAAACACACCACATCAGTGTCTTCTTTGTTCCAGCCATGTGCGTTGGTTTTAACAGGCCGCCATGTTGTTTTCCCTTGAGTTTTCATCACACTGTCGCTGGATTCAGCCGTTCTTATTTTCTCTGTCTCTTCAAAACTGCTTTAGTCTTGAATTCCGCAAACGTGGTGGTATCATCTGTATGTGCCACATGTATTGTGAATGGCTTATAACTTTCAGGCAGTCCTTTTAAAACCATAGCCACTAGCAAGCCGTCTCCTAACGTCTCACCTGCGTTGCGCAGTGCTGTAATGGCGGTCTCTGCTCTTATTATGTAATCCATTACACTTTCGTCGTTTGCCTTCTGAAGTGATGTCAACGTGGTGTAGAGGTTGATAATACGGGGCTTTCCCTTCCCCGCATAATACTCTCTCAATATTTTCAGAGCTCCTCTTCCATTGTTGGGCGCGTCCCTCATTACTAAGGAAAGGCTTTTATTATCTAGCAGTAAAATCAACTCTGCATATGCGTCAGCATTTTTCTTCTGGTCGGCTGCTATCTCGGCCTCTGAAGCTGGTTCTCTCAGCACTGTGTCCTTTAGCCCGGATAAATGAAAATGTCCCAACATTTTAGTCTCCCAAAGTTCATACTTAGTCTCATCTCCGTCGAACGTCAGTGGAGGCAACCTTCTTCGTTGTTCCGCCATGTTAGCCCGTTCTGTTTCTTCGATAGCAGTCCATTAGCACGCGGTCCGTTGCGACTTTCTAAACTGTGACAAACTTATCTTCCGAACGACTCCTGGGCCCATAACCTGTTGAGTTATGCCTCAATGTTGCAGCTAACGTTGCATTCGGATGAATAGAGGGAACAATGGAGATGAGCCATCTTTAGCCTTATGGCATATTTATTCCTTCACTGCAGACACATCAGTCTCACGGTCATACAGCTACTAACGCTAAGTTGAAATCAGGCAAGATCACTAGAACAAGACGTTATGCGTCAACCTGCATCACAGCGCCCTCGTGTGACATAATAAGCATACATAACACATTCACATATACAACTGAGGACATAATGAACATATCTTAACAGAGTCTTTGTCCAATTTTGTATCTATCACAGACTGTTCTTTTCTTTTTTTTATTTTCGATGCCAATACCTTTCGAGCTTTTGGGCTACAGTCATAGATAGTTTGTTTGGCCAGAGTAGCTTCCTCCTCAAATTCTTCTAGGTAGATGCATTCCAATTAATTTTTAGCTTCAGACAATTGTTTCACATGCGTTGGGTCTCTTAACCCTCTAGCGGTTTCCTACAGATGGTATATTCGATTTTCCAAGTATCTTAGTTTATTTTCCCTCTGTCTTTTTTTCCTGGATGAGAAGGTGATCATTTCTCCCCTAATGGTGGCTTTGGCTGCTTCCCATATTATTGTAGGGTTAACTTCATTATTGTCATTTTCACACAAGGAGACAATGGTCAAAAAAACTGTGGGACCGTTCTGGACCCTGATTGTCCCCCTATTCTGGAGCAGGTTGCAGTTTAGATTAGAAAACCCCTCTTTTGGTCCCTGCCCATAGTCTCTCACCCAACCCTTGTCCGCTGTCCATTAGTAAAATGAAACACAATATAGTACTAGCCTATATAATAAAATATGATTCCTTCTCAGAGGAAGAAAAAATAATAAATAAATAAAAGGAAAAGGAAATAGAGGTAGAGTTCCCAATTCTCAAGCCTAGTGTATACTTGTGCGGCGCTGCTTACGTTAGCGGTTGCGGTGGACCTCCGCAAGCACAATTTAAATAATACTCCTTGCAGAGTTTTGAGGAGAATGTTGTTATCGCACAACCAACCACACGATGGCGATCTCACAGGAGTTGCTTGAGATACCAAAGCGGTCTCATTTACGCTGCTATTTTCTCCTCTTCAGAACAAAAACATGAACAAAAACAAAGCTGTTTGAGATCATTACATGTGTTTCTACTGTAGGTTTATGTGATAGTTCTATGGACTCATTATTTCTTAACTCATTTAACTGTGATTTTGTGAATAAAGACACAGTTCTTGTTGGAAACATAGTTATTATTAAATTGTATTCATCACAAACAGCATACAAAAAGTGGTAAATATATGAACAATTTATAAGTGCAGGAGGAATGGAACAGACGCGATAAGCTACGATTCAAACAAAGACAGGAACAGTGCAAAAGAAACGACTGCACAGTTTATAAGTTATATGTTAGATATGCAACAGAACTCTCTAGTCCAGTCTCCGCGTATATCAGGCCCTGCCATGAGCCAAAACTACTTTTCCTTTGGTTTCCTCGAAGCGTGAAGCAGTCTGCTCCATAGTTCCTCGTCCATGTTCCCTGCAGCCGCTCCGTGCTTCCTTCCAATACACACACGGACCAATCACAGCGGAGCTTCCTTGCGGCGACCCTTATGTAGTTAGAAAATGTCGATGCTGCGCGGCAGGCAACGTAAGGGCCTTGCGGTGACCAACGCGTTGTGCAAGTGACGCCACGTCACCTCCGTAAGCTCCGCGCCGCGCGAGTATACACTAGGCTTCTCCTTTCCCAGCTTTTATTTAGATAACTGTTAAATAAAATTAATGTAAAATATAACAGGGAACGTGAGGGAAGGCTAAAAGGAGGTGGCTGACAGGTCGGGCTTTATGTCCAAACGTAAATGAAAGACCTCCATTCTCAATACTTTTCATTATAGTTGCATTTTAGGACTCCATACCTCGAGGTTCTTTCAAAGTGGTTGCGCGATGTTTTTCGCTTCTGCGCCAGACTTGCGTTCTGCATGAAGCGGCTGTAGTTCCCCCTGGTTCTCCCTATGAGATTTCATAACACTTTGAAGCAACTTTTGTTAAAGTCAAACTCATCATTCTATCAATGTGCAGAAGCCAGTACTTTTCCCTTGTTTTGTCTATCTGAAGGCCAAGCTACAAGCACACCGTGGAAGCTGCTGATTGGAGGACTCCATGCCTCCGCTCTGTATAATACACTTGCATTCTATTGTATCTGTGTTCGTGTTCGTGCTGTCTCTACCATCGACAATAAAACATGTCTTCTGTCTGAATTATAGACGCGATCCCAGACATGTCATCTTCTTCAGGTGGTGGAAGGATGCGGGCCTTGTCTGTAACATCTAGAGAACAGAAGACTACTTTTTTTTACACAAAAAGTGTTTTTTTTTTAAGCCAAAACTGAGAAACCTCAAGAGAAACCATGCATCTGGATCAGCACTTGGACAATCTGCACAGCCCCTGATTCCACTCAGGCCTGCTGTGAGCTGCTGAGACATGGACAATACCATCGTCCTCTTTTGCATGGACATAATTTGGAACAATTGGATTACACAATTTGGACATAATTTGGACTGAATTGAATTGCTGAATCTGGACACTAAAGCTGAAACGTGTGATTGAAAGACATGTCACAGAAGAATTCATGGCTCGACACAAATGCAGCCTGAAGAAACCAACACGGAGAAGTGGGAGAGACTGTTTTCAAAGCAATATCTGGAACCACCATCGACTGATGAAGTTTGGTATTTTACTGAAGATTGTTGACAAGTTTTATGAAAGATCTGAAAATGTTTTATGAGTTTTCTGAGTTTTTGAAGTATTCCGAGTTCTGAGTTTTTTGAAGTACCGAGTTTGAGTTTTTGAAGTATTGAGTTATGATGTTATGTTGCTGTTTATCGATCCTGATGGTCACACGGGAATGTGTGACCAGAGGGGGGAATATGAGATTTCATAACACTTTGAAGCAACTTTTGTTAAAGTCAAACTCATCATTCTATCAATGTGCAGAAGCCAGTACTTTTCCCTTGTTTTGTCTATCTGAAGGCCAAGCTACAAGCACACCGTGGAAGCTGCTGATTGGAGGACTCCATGCCTCCGCTCTGTATAATACACTTGCATTCTATTGTATCTGTGTTCGTGTTCGTGCGGTCTCTACCATCGACAATAAAACATGTCTTCTGTCTGAATTAAAGACGCGATCCCAGACATGTCATCTTCTTCATCCCGTTCCAGTACACCGCGGTTTCGTAGATATGACTTGGCTTCTTCGAGTGAGTCAAACGTCGCTGTGTCTCCCTCAAGGAATATTTTCAGCTGAGACGGGTATGTGGGATTTCACCCTCTTTTGGTTCAGAAGATTTCTCAGCTGGGTCCACCTGCATTGCTCTTTTTGGAGTTTGTTAGAGAAGTCCTGGGAGAGGAAGATACGAGCATTGCCGATCCTGATCTCTTTTTTGGACCTGGCTGTTCTCAAGATGTCGCATATTCCACTGGATGAAACGGACCACCATGGATCGGGGGGCTACGTTCTCTCCAGTTGGTCTTTGCCCCAGAGAGCGGTGCGTGGCAGCGATCTGGATGTTCTCAGGTAAGATCTCCAACTTCTCTGCTAAGACAAAGCCAATGATGTCGTCTCCTTCGAGTCCTTCTTTAACTCCGTAGATGCGGATATTATTTTGTCTTGACTGGTTTTCCAGGTATTCGAGCTTTTCCGACATGTCCTTTTGATTTTTTGACATCTGTTTCAATATTGTTGCAATGGCGTCTTCACGCTCTTCCAGCTCATGTATTCTTTGTTTAGCTTCTTCAATTTCCCTCTTGGCCTCTCTTAAGCTGTGTCGGATCTCTTTTACAGTTTTTTCCTGTTGCTTGAACACATTTTGCTAAATTTCGCGCATTGTCCCAAAACTCTACATACACAATGACCTGACCCAACACGGACATAAATCGTTCACATCTGGGTCAAAATGAAACTCCTTTAACAAAGGAGTGCTCTCAAAACTCAAACTCTGCTCTCAAAACTAAATAATAATTTGTAATAAAAGGACAAAATCATGTCATGTTACATCATGTGAACACACTTTCAGATTGGAAGCAACACACTACAGTACTTTATATAAAACACTGCAGTCATTTTCACTGTTATTATTCTGTTCATCAGTTTGTTTTCTGTGAAGCTCAATGGAACTGTATTGTTCTCAAAAAAGGTTTATCAACAACCAAAAATTAAAGTACTAATATATTAAATCAACACTGTGCATCACAGTACTACAGTACACTTTACTGCATTTGTGTCAATGCAGTAACACAAAACACAAAACGAATGAAAAACTAGGCAATTGTGTGTTTGTGGATTATGGATCATGGTTCCTGCTCAGACTGTTTCCACAATGTTTCTGCTGTTGGTGAACAGGTGTTAAGCACCTCGAGAAGGTCTCCTAGTCATTTTGTAGATTTTTTTTGCAAAAACAGTTTTTCTCTATTGCTTAAACCATAGACTGTATATATTAATGGACATAGTCACGCCTATCTCCACCGTTCTAACTAATGGGCCAAAAATTGGGCTGTCATGGAGTGATTTTAAATGGCCTTGGGGCTGGAAAATGCGAAAAAACGCATCTGCGCACGCGTCAGTCGGCACGAGCCCCATTCATTTAAACGAGTGCCTTCAAAAATTCACAGCGAGTAAACTAGACTGGTCTAAAAAAATTCACTCCCCTCAGCATTGACACACATGTGGAACGGAGCTTTAGGCCAAGAGCCAACCTTTTCACCATCTTGTAAAGGTGTTTTCGAGAGGTAAGAAGATGCTATATGTTAGCATTGGCTAATTCTTATTCCGGGTCCACCCCCATCGGCCCGGGGTGGTATTGCAAGCATGTCAGCGCACGTGGCCACTTTTGAGCCCCCACTGGCTCATACATATTTCACGATACTGCCCTCACTTTTCACAAAACTCTAAACACAAACCACTTTTCCAAAGCTACATACACACAACCCCACAGTCTCTTTTCAAAACCGACCCATCACACCAAAACAGTTTCTCCTATTCTCAAAAGCAAATTCTGACCCAATAATACCACTTAAGGCCTGCACATAAATGTAAACACTACTAAGCATCATTAAACACATTACCAGAACAATTAAAAACACAATTTTCAGAGATGTGAGACTGTTCTTTTTTACAGTTTCACAACTCCCAGGATGCATTTAAGCAACACTTATTATTCACTTTATTCTCAAATATGTTTTGTGCATTTACAGTTTTTCTCTATTGCTACATCACAAAACCTCTATACTCTAAATCAAATGACCAGTTGCCTAAACACATTTAATAAAACTACCCACCACTTTCCACAACCCTAAACACAATTCTCCTGTAGACACTGTTCACAAAACCTGTCCTCTTTTTTTGCCTTTGTATGTATCTCTGCTCCAATATGCATTGTGAAGCTCATGTGATGCAAAATGCCTCCCACAGTCAGCAAAACTTGAACACAATGAAACACAACAACCCGGAATTGTAAACTCCTGTTGCAAATGATGTGACCACAACTATATAAGTCAGTGCAGTTTGATGAAGGTTCCAAACAAAAATGGATGATCAAGGCAGGAGAAGTGGAGTTCGTGTCAGAGGAGGGAGAGAGGCAGGCCAAGGAGAGAGAGGAGCAGGTCAAGGAGAGAGAGGAGCAGGTCAAAGAAGGAGAGGAGCAGGTCAAAGAGGGAGAGGAGCAGGTCAAAGAGGGAGAGGAGCAGGTCAAAGAGAGAGAGGAGCAGGTCAAAGAGGGAGAGGAGCAGGTCAAGGAGGGAGAGGAGCAAGTCAAAGAGGGAGAGGAACAGGTCAACTAGGGAGAGGAGCAGGTCAAAGAGGGAGAGGAGCAAGTCAAAGAGGGAGAGGAACAGGTCAACTAGGGAGAGGAGCAGGTCAAAGAGGGATAGGAACAGGTCAACTAGGGAGAGGAGCAGGTCAAGGAGGGAGAGGAGCAAGTCAAAGAGGGAGAGGAACAGGTCAACTAGGGAGAGGAGCAGGTCAAAGAGGGAGAAGATACATATGTCATACACTGTGTCAATTTACATTTACAACAATTTTAACTTACTTACTTTAACTTACAACATACTGTAATAAAATAAATCACACTCTCAACATTGTGTTTTCTTACTGTACTGTTGTATCTGATGTGTGTCATTGTTACTGTACTGTTGTATCTGATGTGTGTCATTGTTACTGTACTGTTGTATCTGATGTGTGTCATTGTTACTGTACTGTTGTATCTGATGTGTGTCATTGTTACTGTACTGTTGTATCTGATATGTGTCATTGTTACTGTACTGTTGTATCTGATGTGTGTCATTGTTACTGTATCTGATGGATCCTCCATGGAGTTACTCATTTTTGCTCTGAGTTGTGATATAACTGCACTTTCTGCATTATGTAACTATTCTCATGAAACGCAGACATATATAGTAAATGCCCAATACATACAGTATTTGAGAATAAATACATGTTGCTCAAATGCATCCTGGCAGTTGTGAAACTGTAAAAAGAACAGTCTCACACTCTACACTAACCCTACACTTTTAGTAATGTGGTTAATGATGCTCAGTAGTGTTCACATTTTTGCGGGCCTTGAGTGGTATTATGGGGTCAGAATTTGCTTTTGAGAATATGAGCAACTGTTTTGGTGTGATGGGTCGGTTTTGAAAAGAGACTGTGAGGTTATGTGCACGTATCTTTAGAAAAGTGTTTTGTGTTTAGAGTTTTGTGAAAAGGGAGGCCAGTATTGTGAAATGTGTTTAAGCAATAGAGAAAAACTGTATTGTATTAGTATGTTGTAACTGTAAATTGACAAAATATGTTGATCCTTGACCTGCTCCTCTCCCTCCTCTGACACAAACTCCTCTTCTTCTGCCTTGATCATCCATTTTTGTTTGGAACCTTCATCAAACTGCACTGACTTATAAAGTTGTGGTCACATCATTTGCAACAGGAGTTTTCAATTCTGAGTCGTTGTGTTTACTGAATGACACCAGGTATGTTCATTGTGTTCAGGTTTTGCTTCACAATGCATATTGGAGCAGAGATACATGCAAAAAGTGTTTTAGCAAAGGCAAAATGTGTTTAGAGTTTTGAGATAAAGGGGATGGGTTTTGTGAACAGTGTCTTGGTAAATTGTGTTTATGGTTGTGGCAAGTGGGGGGTAGTTTTATTAAATGTGTTTAGGCAACTGGTCATTTGGTTTAGAGTACTGGGTTTTGTGTTGTAGCAATCGAGAAAAACTGTAACTTCACTCTGTGCAAAAGTCTGTGGCCTTTTGTTGAGTGGCCTTTTCTCTGCTGCAGCTTGTCTCTTTTCCTTCACCGCTGCTGCTGCTCTCTCTCAGAAGGACCCCTTGTGGGTCTGGAGGAGGCGCTCTCTCAGACGGTCCATTGTGGTGGCGCTCAATTGTAGATGTTTGTGGCGGTGACCATTTAGCAATGAACCAATGAAGCAGACAGGAGAGGTTTCTCGAACCAACAGAAAGAAACAAGCGTGTTAATACAATTCAAAGCCAAAACCGATAGTTAATTAAAACCCCCCAAAAAAATTAATTATAAACATTAAAGGCACACCGCGGACTTTGTGACCTGAAGAGTTGACACATATGAGTTATTTTATATGAATACTTGGGCCAATATACAGCGCTTGACACTTGCAATGCTCCGAGCGGGGCTGCCCTCTTGAAATACCGCCCATGTAAGTTTCGAGCAGACGGACCGTCTGCCACCAGGTCACGTGACTTGGAAGAAAGACTTGCTTTACGGCTACAGGCGCTGATATACTCATGGAGCTAAGGCTTTTGCTACTCATTTTTCACCTGCTCGACTCCTGGTCATGGCTGAGGCAAGGAAAAATTTTAAACCTTCGGAGGAGGCTAAAAAGAGGAAACGCGAAAGGGATCGTGCTGTAAGCTGCATGTCTGTATGAGCGCTGCTCTTCACCTGGTTCCTGGATGTCATCGACTGCAAAGATGTCATTCCACGCAGCACGAGCTAGACGCAGAACTCCCTCATCCAGGATATAGAAGTCCATGTGTGGTAGATTACTAATGCAGCGGTCTGGAGGCTGACCACAGCAGAGTCTCTCAATATCTGTAGGCATGTCTCTACAGTTTGAACACACACACCAGTGCATGCTGTCTGAATACACACTCAAAAGACACCGGCTGACTGTTGACTTTTGCGACAGTGCTGAGTTGCTTGTGGCCACTAGGGGCGCTAAACGTGAAAGTTGCAGGTCTAGCGCCCCTAGTGGCCAAGAGTTACACGGTGTGCCTTTAAAAACCCTACATTCTGATCAAGGAATACTAAAACTGCATTGCTACTTGCTTCTTTTTTTTTGTTTTAGAGCATGCAGGCTTGAGACCTGTCATGAGGCCTATGATAGTTACTGTACATTATCGCGTTTTATGTGTAAGTTTGTATTCTAATGTCATTTTCTACTGTTTACTTTAAAGAAAACATATTTTGTATGCATCAAGAGTTAACAGAGAGGGAGACAGCAGAGAGAGAAGGGCAGAGGGGAGGGGCTGAGTGAACAAAAAAATAAAAATACTTTTGCTTACGAGCTGTGACCAACAGTAGGAAAAAGGAGCACACGGCACACGTTAAGTGAATAGCAATACTAATTAAAATAAAACACAATCTTTAACTCTAGCATCAACAATAAGTATAAAATCTCTATCTTGAAAATAGATACTGGGAAGTACTGTGTATTCTAGGGCAAGTAAAGTGTAGTTATATGTTAGCATCTGTGCATTAGCAGTACTGTATATACATCTGCACATTAGCAGCAGTATGTTTACATCTGTACATTAGCAGCAGTATGTTTACAGCTGTATATTGCACATTCTTGTGTAAGATAAGGATACTGCAACAATGCGAGAATGACACGTGGAATCAAGTTGGCAGTGTTCATTAGTCCTTGTTTGTTGTACAGTCTGACAGCAGCAGGAAGGGAAGACCTGCAGAACCTCTCCTTCACACATAGAGGATGAATAAGATTCACTGAAGCTGCTCTCCAGAGCAGAGAGAGTGTCCTACAGGGGGTGACAGTCGTGGTCCAGAATAGATGTTAGTTTGTCCCAGACCCTCCTGTCCCCCACCTGCTGCACTGTGTCGAGGGAACAGCCCAGGACTGAGCTGGACTTCCTGATGACCTTGTTCAGCTTCTTCCTGTCCCTCTCTGTGATGCGGCTGCTCTGGCAGACCACACCGTATAAGATGGCTGATGCAACCACAGAGTCATAGAAGGTCTTCAGGAGTGGTCCCTGCCTCCTAGAGCCGGCTCTGGCCCTTCTTGAAGAGAGTATTGTATGTTTAAGTGTGTGTGCTTGTGTGTGTGTCACAGGTTTAAAAGTGTCTGTTGAGGGGGTGTGATCATAAAAAGGGAAACTGGATAAAAAGGGGATAAAATTTAATAAAATATTTACAAAAGGATCCATAAAAGATGATTAAAAGCCCAGAGTCCGTCCCCACTGTCCTCCGCTCTTCTCACCCGGGACCGGGCCGCAGTTCCGCCAGCCACTAGCCGACCACGGGTCGGCACCGGGCACCCGCGGGGGAGAGCCGGCACATCCCGGTCGTCGTTGGGCCTAGCCCGGGCGCGCACGCGCCTTCATGCGCTGTCAATGCGCGCCCCCCTTACCGGTGCCGCTCCCCCCGCTGGCCTCAGTGCACCGTGGTCTCTGGCTGGCGGTGCTCGTCCTTGGCCCGGTCCCGCGTCCTCCTCCTCTGGTCCTCCGTGTCCTCTCTCTGTCTCTCTCTCTTCTTCTCCTGCAGTGCCCGCCCCCAATTAAAAGGTCTTGATTAAAAGCAGGTGTGGGTGATTAGGGGAAGTGTCCAAGGAACTGTGATTAAAATCCATGCATTAAAAATATAACACAAAACACATCACACAAATAAAAGCAGTTAAAAGTCCTTGTTAAAAGTTCACTTTCCCACATTCCCCCCAACTTAAACGTAAGCAGTCCCTGCTACGTTAAAACCATAGTCCATCCATCTGCTTAATCCTCCGTTTCTCCGGCGGGCACCACTCCACGTTTCCTTAAAAACAAGTCCATACATCCATTAAAACCATCCGCGGGGCCTCCAACAATGTTCCTCGTTTTGGGGCAAGGCCTCTGCTCTGCGTCCCCAACGGCAGTCTCCTGTCCAGCGGTACAAATTGCATAAAAAAGTAAAAAAATAAAAACGGGGCTAAAACCAATAAAAGATCACACCAGTCCTCAACCCTGCCAAGCAACGCCATAAAATAGATGTGACCGAGTAGCATATAAAAGGAAAAGCAACGCCACCTAGTTTTAAAAATGAGACTAGGACTCAATAAAGGAAGGTTCTTAAAAACAAGGTGAGCAGTGTAAAAACCAGAGTTTTAAAAGGGATAAAACAATTTATTACAAATAAAATTACAGAATAAAATACTAAAAATATAAAAGCAAAGTCCAGTTAAAAGTCCAGCAAGGGCAGGGGCAACTCCGCAGACCTAAAACCAGAGGAGCAGGAGGCAGTAAAACGTTCTTTTTAAAAATAGAAATCTGTAGGTTAAAAGTGGGATGAATCCCGGCCAGAGCACTAAAGGTCACTTACGTGCACGGGCAGAGAAACTCTGCCCGCTGCGGTGATGTCACGTCGTGCTCTGGCTCCACACGAGGGAATGGCTGGCCAGGCCCCTCCCTGAAACAAAAACGGGTCTCCCACAGTAAAACGCCTTAAAAACAGATTTCTATCGGCCAGCAGCAGCCGTATGCCCGAGCAGAGCACTACAATGTTACTTACAGGCACGGGCAGAGAAACTCTGCCCGCTGCGTGTA